CTTCTTCATAATATATTTGCTTGAACTGCCTTTGTATTATTAGTCAGACACCTACTCACTTGCCAAAGCAGCGGTCGTACTTTTTTGAACTGCTAATACCTTATTACCTTAGGTCACCGTCCCTCCGGAGGTAAAGGTTGTATTTGGAGAGTAGGTCCACGGTCTTTTCTGTAATGATTTACTTCGCGGTATTCTCAGCAAAGAATGCAAAAGCTACCAGCTTTTCCACAGAAGTTTGCCATTTTATGGGAGCTTTCTGCTCTACTCTCCGCAGTCTTTTTCATTATTAACTTTTCAAGAAAATGGCTCGGCGCCTTTGACTTCTTTTAACAATGTTCTTCCCTCACGCCTCCATTGTTTTAAAGAGACCAAGTGTATTTTTGTTAAGTAATCCTTTGCTTACAGAGATTATGTAATCTTATGCCATAGAAAGCCATTGCCATATTCTAAGACAGTATAGATGAGTTAGGCTTTAATTTTTCAACTGGCTCTTACCACCCCCCTTAGAAGAAGTAGCTGAACCAGTTTTATCAGAATCCCGTTACAATTTTTGAGTTTTTTCTCCTGTATCGTAGACTATTTTTGTCATTTGTCAGCCAAACCCTTACATGCCAGAAGACTAAATACAGTCCTCGCGCTCTGAACACCTGATGATATTTTAAAGCAAGAGCGTGAGGCGGCCGTAATACACACAGCTCATAATGCCAAAGCAGCTGCGTGTTTTGGTAAATCCCGATCGTCTCATCGCGCTGTGAGGGAGCATACGCGGCTCTGGGTGGCTTTAACCAAAGCTGAAGTACACGATTTAGGAAGTTCTCACCGCACATGAAATAAAAAAGTGTAATAACATAAAATCACCGCTGTAGGTCAAACAGCCTAATTCTCCTAGAATTCAATCCAACCCAAGTTTACTACTGGATCCAAAAAAAAAGTAAAATCAAATCAAAATGGTGGCTGTAAGTGACAGTTATCTGGCGGATGGGCACTGGCCAGACGCCTCTTCCCTAATGCCTCGTGTGTTCGCTTGTTGTCCTTATGTAGTTCGTAACGTGTGTTTAGATGGAAAAAGAAATTGGAGGTTTGGAAGAGCATACGTTACATGGAGTCCATCAACTTTATAATGAAAATTTGGTAGCTTTCTTACCACTTTGATAAGTGCCAATTATTTCTGCCAGGTGTTGTCTGCAATAGCAGGACCTTGTTCCTACAATAACCATTTCACCTTAGTTCATCTTTGGTGCCCTTTCGTTTTCTTCCTTCGTGCTAAGGAAAAACATCAGTATTTGATTTGGTTCACATGGCCGCCAAGTCAAGGCTGCATTTTCCTGCTCTTTCTTCCTTCCAGTCCTCCGCTTGCTGTATTCCAGTTCTTCCCTGTCTCCTTTCTCTTCCTTCCCCTAGGGCTAAACCTCTGCTTCCTAGGCGATGTATTTATAGGCTGAAATACTGTTGGTCTGTATTTGAACTCGCTCTCCCTGCCCCCACACGCATACCTCCACAGAAAGTACAAAATGCTAAGATAAAAAAGATCCCCCAAAAACAATCAGTAGGAGGTTTCTGTGAAATCACAGCGGCTACAGAGAGTTTTAGTTATTCTTTGATATCTGATGTTACTGAATATTTCCTACTGCCTTGTTCTTCACTGTCTTTTGCTTGTGATGTTCAGTCTTGCTCTAAAATGAGTAAGGGCTGAGAACAAGGGGGATTTTACACACAGGATAAATCATTTCTGGATCTCCAGCTTCTAAGTTATGCTCCTGCTCTGTCTTAGGCTCAATTTCTGCCAATGAGATTGCATATCAGATCACTAAATAGGAAGAAATCCAAATTTCTGAGCTGTGTGTAATTATTTGCGTGTTACTGAAAGGGAAGAGTAGCGTAGTTGCTTTCATATACAGTTTCACGCGGTGCTTCTAATTCCGTAGAAAAATTGAGAAGTGAGTTGGAAGGCCAATTGTTCCTGACGGGCCGCATCGTGAACTCCACGTGAAGTCTTTCCGCAAGTACTGGAAGAGCTGATGCTAGTGCTGGAGTTGGCTGGTGATTGATTTGAGCCAGTGATACTGCCTGAATCTCCTTGACTGACTTTGCTGGCCTGTAGAGCTTCCCGGTAGAAGTGTTTTATATTCCATGGACAGGTCAGCAGACACAGCTCTACTAGATGTTAGTACTGCCCAGAGAAACTTTGCTGGAACCACACTCTGTAGTATTAGGTGGCTCCTATCAGAAGACTTCATGAAAACATACATCCCACTGCAATTTCATTTTTGGAATTAAAAACAGGAAAAAGAGCCATTTGGCAATACGGTTTGACTTCTCCCTTCTGGGGTTGGTGTTCAATTACATCCTGGAATGTAGTACAACATCAAAGGTAGGACTGAAGTGCAATATTTTGATTGACTCAAAACAACTTTTTTAAATGTATGTTAGCAGAAACTCCCGTTCTCATTCAGATTGAAATCAAGTCTCGAAATCTCAAAGATTCACGGAGGGAAACTTCTGTCATTCACGTTCCTTTAACTCCTACACCTGAAGGCAAGAACGGATGCCAGTGAGCCAGGTTACCATCCAGCTAAATTAAGCTGTTGCACACCATTCTTTTAAAACACAGAACACCTGAATAAGCCTCTGGCCTTGGATCACAGAATGTCGTGTAATAGAACGTATTCAGATATTTGCCGTTGTTTGCTGTTCCCTGCCGGAGTATGTCTAACACGTAAGTTAACTGTGGGCTTCTCACAGTAAGACTTCGAAAAGAAATTACTGATGTTAGTGAAAAAGGGAATATTGCCAATTGTCTCTAGCCAAGTGAAAGTAAAATTACGTGTCCAGGTGGTTTTATGTCTCTTGCGTGTGGAAGCTACGGTACCTTTGTAGATGTCTTCATTGCTTACATGAGCAATAACATGATCTCATGATTATGTAGCAGCTCATCAGAGATTTTTACCTCATTTTCCACTGTCTGATTTAATAGTCTGTAATTTCCTAGTCTCTGATTGGAATGTGTTACCAGGTTATTTAGTTAAAGCCTTTAGTTTAGTTATATGCATATGAGATATAGCATGCAAAACTTGCGATTTCCTCACTGGATGAAGTCTGCATGTTCTGGATTTCTTTTTGCCAGCCTTTTCTAACACTGCACCGTTATTTCTTACTCAACCAAACTACCCCTTGGCTTGTGCTGACAATGCCGTACAAGGTCCACAGTTTGGTCTGTGTTGTTTAAACATATGGCAACGGAGCCATTGCTGATCCGCAGTCAAAACATCTCTTTGTGAAAATTCTTTGTTCTTTCCACAATCTTAGTGAAAAATAAGGCAATTCATACTCGACATATTCTTACCCATCATGCTATCTAGTGGTCAAGAGCTACTCACAAAAAGTCTTGTTAGACTTTTAGATCCACTTTTTTTCCCCATCACTTCTTCTCCCGGTGGTTTCTTTTTGGTGCTTAAAAGAAATTAAAAGGTTCTTTAACACCACGATGCCAGTTCTTGCAGTACAGCACTGGAGACTTGTTCTGCTTATGCTCCCCAACATTTTCTTTTCGTAGAAGGCGGCGAACTCTCTTAGTACTTCGGTTTTAACATTCAAGCGTATTTGCGTGTGTGTGTGTTGTCTGCATTAGTGGTCTAGTCCACATGTAGGAGTGGGCAGGAGAATTACAACTATTGCTTGCACAAGAGAGGTACTACAGCCTGGTTGCTTGCATTTCTTTTTATTTCAAGCTTGGTATTCCAGATTGACTTTCTGAGGTTTAGTAAGGAGTTGAATACAAGTTAAATCCTTGCAAAAATCTGTCTCCCTTACCCATTTAGCATTAAACTCACAAAAATCTGGATTTGAGAGCAATGCCACTCCAGTTGAACTTCATCGGTGTAAGTTTGGACTTTACCAAGTGACGAATATACAGTGCAAAATTATAAACCTTTGTTCTTCAAACAACAAGTTTTTAAAAGTAGAAGTCAGTTTTCAAAGTGAAGTCAGATTTTCCATCTTGCCTAAAGTCTCTTAAACTTTTCCGTCCTGGAGTAACTGGTATTAGTAATAACCATACCACTGTGCAGGAATTCGTTTACTCCGCACTGTTTTAGTGTAACTCCAACCAACATGAACAAATACTGAACTGTGGGCTTATTCTTGACTGATAGATAAAGGAGAAACTGTTTCACATACTTCTGCCTTTGAGGAGTATGCAAACACTGCTGGAGTTTGAGTATTCTTACTAGAAATACATATTCTGCCTGTTGTTTTTAATGCAGTATTCTTCTGTTACTACTTAGCATTTACTACTATTAGTTAGCAGATGTACTGTAATATCACCAAATGATCTGGTTGAGGTTTATTGTAGTATGGACGTATTAAGCATTTTACAAGCAAAGGATAGGCACAATCACAGAAGTCAGAGCTGAAAGATGCCGTGCTCTAACGAGACCTGTGCAGATGTGGATGCATTGTACGTAATCCACGGGCTTTGCACCAGATGATCTTGATTGTAGGCTTAATTTCTTAATTCCTCTTCCCTTAAATGTGCGCGTTTGGCCGAAGCAAACGCCAAGTGATACAAAGATTCCTGAAAATCAGCGTTAGACACTTGCAAGGTAAAGGCCTCGTGTATATGAAGCATTAGAGCATCGCTTGTGAAACGATGATCACTTTCCTTTAAATTGAAGTTAAGAGTTGGGGTTTGGGTTTGTTTTGCTTTTTGAACAGCAGATCCTTCAATGAAGGAAAGAAGATGAGAAGCATGCTAGGAAAGTGGATTGATCTTGACATGTGTTTAATTTCCTCGTGAGTACAGGAGTCCACTGAAGCCAAAACAGTGTAAAGCAGTAATACAACATCATGTCCTTTGGACATGGAAAATGAAGGGAAAAGGCCGTTGCGCCAGCTGAGGAATGACAGAATACCTTTGTTACGGCTGTTCTTCTGACAGCCTTACAGCCGTCACCTTCCATTTTACCTTCCATTTTAAGAGCTGTCTCTGTATCTCTCTCTAGCTCGTAAGCAGGAGATTATCAAGGTTACTGAGCAGTTGATTGAAGCAATCAACAATGGGGACTTCGAAGCTTACACGTAAGTTTTCTCATTTTAGAGGGAGCGAGGAGAGTTGATGTATTTGACACTGTATATGTAAATATGCGTATTTATATGTGAGCGTGTGTTTGTACGTACGTATTGTTGAAGTTCATTCTGAGATGCCCCCCAAGAAATACAAGACATGTTCATTGCTGCTTTGCCCCGGCTTTACACGAGCCTGGTTGCCCATTTCAGAGGAGCTGCTAGCGTAAATCCAATGTGCTGCTCTGCCGAGACAGCATCATAATCCTGACGCAAAAGATGCAGTGATCTGTCTTGGTGGATGAAAGTAAAGTCACGTTTGTGATTTAGAATCCAGAAAACACAGTAGAAGCCTCTTTTAACAGAAACTTTTTATCATAGGTAGAGATTGACAATAGCTAGAATGCCATTTGTACTTCAGAGCGTGAAAGCCCACGTGGAATTTAGGTTCCCCCAGCCTCTACTGAGCACTGTGCAAGAAACTGATGGGAGAAAGTGAACTGATTTCTCTCCCAGCATTTCTCTGCAAAGACACAATTCCATCACTGCTGCTCTTCCTACCTCAAAAAAAAAAAAATCAAGAAAGTAGAGGAAAGCCCTCCTCGGTGTTTCTTTTGGTCTCCTGTGTTTCTCTGGATTGATTCTATCCTCTTGCAGCACAAGCCTCACAGCTCAGCAGTGACACTGCTCGTCCTGTCTCAAGACTTGCCAGCACTGAGGTTTTGTTTGGTATGATCACATTAAAACCTTTGTTGTACAAACGTCAAGTGGAAACTGACTCCAAATTCTGATCTAAATTTTGTCAGTTAAAAAAAAAATAAATCTAGCTTAAATAATTATGTGAAACATAAAAGGTATCCTTCGGATTGCAGAGAAGCAGTTTTCAGAGTCATAAGTAGAAATTCCTACTTGTAATACGATTGACTTGTGGGTCCGCCTTTGGCAGTCTTTTTTTTTTTGATCAGAAGATGATTTATGTGAAATCTAGTCCACCTAAAGTAAGCTGCCAAATTTTCTAATTCAGTTGAAACCAGAACTCCATTACTTCTCCCCATTTAAGTTCTGTTCTTTTCCAGTGTGGTGGCACAGGTAAAGTAACACGTCTGATGGGAATAAAGGAAACATTTAAAAAGCAATCTCTGCAAAGTTGTGTTACGTAACTGCCTGTGTTTATTACAGAATTTCCTCTTTTCCACAGAAAAATCTGTGATCCAGGCCTTACATCTTTTGAACCTGAAGCTTTGGGTAATCTAGTAGAAGGGATGGACTTTCACCGGTTTTACTTTGAAAATGGTAAACAGTCCTTTTTCATCCATACGAATCTTTATCTGTTCCTTGTGATCGTGTTTCTCCAGTCTAATTAGCATCTTGGTTTGGGAGTTAGTTGATTTGGGTAGGAAAAGGGAGTAGATTTTCGCCGGAGTTCTGCTCTCTGTGTTTTTCTGTCTGTTTTTGCTGCACTCATTCACACATCATAGGGCTCCTTGGATAGCGGAAGAGAGTTTCAGGTATTTGGAAGGAGAAAGTGAAGGTGTAAAAAAAACAAATAAACCATAGATAACTAATCCTCATACTTCCCCCCCCGCCCCCACTTTGGGGAAAAGAGAAAAATCATGCTGTGAGTATACCTGAAAGAAAGGTCAGTAAATCATGTCGTTACACTGACCGCAATTAACAGTCAGCACTTCCAGTGAGTGTGTGATGTATGGGGGAAGACACTGTAGTCACTCAGTCTGTGCTGCTGAGGACTTGATCTTTTTTCTGTTGGTGTGTATGTATATATATGGAAACATCAGTAGATATACTCTCTCTATATATTTATTTTTATATACTACAGTCATGTCAGCTCTAAGAAAGAAAAATTACCAGTAGAGAGGATTTAATAAAGTTTTGGAGGATCATGTAATGTAGGTAACCATTTTAGAGCAGCCTTGAATCAAATGGAAATAAAATATCGTAAATGAAGATATCAGCTTATCCAGTAATTTCTGAGAAACGTCTGAGCGTAAAATGGGATTATCATATTCTTGAATTCTCTTCCACTTCCAAAACAGCATTTTCTGTATTTTTCCTTACAATGTTTCATTACCGCAGCTTTTTGGTTTTCATAGATTTCAGCACTTAATAAAATGCGTCACAAGAGTGAGTTAAAAGCTGAATTATTTTAACTGAAAATACTAAGTACAGATGTCATTAGACATTAGACACAGCAGTGAAACTGAAATATTGGGAAAACTCAATTGGGAAACTAGAGATGGTGGCCCTCATTTTATTTAATCCGTGAATGTACGTGCCTTGAATAATAGGTACTATTAAATGTTTGATTGGTTTCCTTACAGGAAAGGGGGAAACATACTTTATGCTGTGACTGTGCTCATTTCTACAATGTACTCGAGCCAGTTGTCGGTCGTGATTATCGGTAAACAATAATTACTACTTTGTATCTGCTAAGCTTCAGGTTTTTGTTTTGTGAAGTGGGGTGAGATGAGTTATTTTGGCTTACATAGAGAAAACTGAATTTATCCTCTGTGTGTGTTTGTTTCCTAGCTTTATCCAAAAGTAATAAGCCAATCCACACCATTATCCTCAATCCTCACGTCCACCTTGTGGGTGATGACGCTGCTTGCATTGCATATATACGGCTCACCCAGTACATGGATGGAAGCGGGATGCCAAAGACTATGCAGTCGGAGGAAACGCGGGTCTGGCACCGTCGTGATGGGAAATGGCAGAACGTTCATTTTCACCGTTCAGGGTCACCAACAGTACCTATCAAGTAAGAAACAATTCAGAACATGAGCTGAAATTACGTAGGTCAGACCAGATAGTCTAATAGCTGCTTTTGGCCTTAAAAACTATGAAACCGTCCTCTTGATAGTGTAACTTCTTGTGGTCGTCTATGCCATGTGTATTATATTCAGCAGTGCGCATACAGTATTGGTGCAAATATTTTTGAAATAATGCTTTTTTTGTTGTTGTTTTCAACTGTGACGCCCACTGATCCAACTCAGTCCCCGAACTGACAGGTTGAAGAGCAGAAAACTGTTTTAATGTAGATAAGGCTTGACACAAGTCACACAAAATAGGATTGGAAAACCTGAAACAGAATTTCAGGAAAACCTGAAAAAATAAAAAGCAATAGGATACGTGGAGCTGTTAGAGCAGACCGGAAAGTTTCAAGGAAAAAAGTATCACTGTTCTGAAAAACTGAAGTTTGACTAATATTTATTGTGAATTCCAGCCACCTGTACTTACTTAACCTAACCTAGTTACGTTCACTGCAAGTTGATTTTGAGCCAGTTTACGTATTTACTTCATAAATTAAGTCATACAAGTACCTATTCTTATCTCTTTTCCCACACTCGCTTTGCTTAACTGCTGAATAGTTACTGTCTGGTAGTTACGACATCCGTGCGGGTAAGCATCAGCTCTCCCCCATCATCGTTCTTCTCTTTTGTTCATTTGGGCACCTCTGCGTGCCCCCTCGTACCCTCGGAGCCACGTCACGACTCGACGTGCGCAAACCTGAATTCCTTGAGCCAGATTTTCAGCAGTATGAATTACAGCACGCTGATAGCTGCAGTAACAAGATAGAGAGTCACGGCTTCTTCAAGAGGTTCTGCTCGAGTCCTTCGCTTGCCTTCTGCTTGCAGCCTTTGCTCATGCTGCTGTGTCCCTCGGAGCCCAACCTCACTGACTTCTGGCTTAGGTTCGGCTGCTTCTGAATTAGGCAGCGCTGGTACAGGCCTTGGTTTGCTCAGGTGCAAGCCCTCTCTATAGGATATAATTACGTTTGTGCCAGGTGTCTTAATGTGGATAGCAGCTGAATTTCCTGGCCTGGGTGAGATGAGCTCAAATCTTGTCCTTCCAGCTTCATCGTGTCCCATATTCTACTTCTTGCAACGCTGTTCTCCCAGGTGAAATAATGCTTGATAAAGTAAGGAACATGATAGAATGAAGTGTTAAGCTTCACTGGGGACTTTTTTTTTTTTTTTTTTTTTTAGGAAAAAAGTAGTTTGATTACCTCATGATAACTATTGTATTTTTTTTAAAAAACGTGAAACCAATGGGAGCAGGAACAAGGTCATGCTTTGTTTTTCATGTTCTGGCTGCACTGCCAGTGTTTGAACAGGTAATACTGAAAGACTAGTTACATTTTCTTGAAATGCAGCATTATGTAGATTTTTGATGTTTTCATAAACAAGCATTTTGTCAAGGGGTATATGTAGAGCCAGAAAGCATAAGGCATCAGTGAAACAGGTTCATCTCTCCCAGTGCACCCTGGACAGTAAGTGTTTATAGCAGAATGACATGAATCGGACTAGAGAATTATTTAATCTTTTCCTTTTTTTTTTTTTCCCCTCTGCTTTTTGAAAAGCGTTCTGGGTTTTTTTGGGGGGATGTCAATTTTTTTTTTTTTTTTTTTTTTTTTTTGGAAAGAATCCTAAAGAGGAAAGGTAATTTATGACACTCATTCTTACACACCAAAACAAGAAGGCAACAAAATAGCCATCTTAATACTATTTTCATAGAAGCTTGTAGAATTTTCCCATAATTCCTGTAATAATTCTTTCAGTAATGCTTTCTAGAGATAGACTGAACAGCTTTTGCAGCTTTTTCAGGTACGGTGTTGTAACAGGAGCCTCGGCACTTAGTTGGCGTAACGCATACACGTGTGACGAGCTGCTGCGTGCTGCGACACGTGCTGCCCCTATGAGCGCTCGCCAGAGGTAGGATTTCTGGAATACAAAGGGCACGCACTAGCTGCCACGGAGCAGCTCCCGGCCCTTCGGGCCGCGCGGCTCGAGGGAAGGCAGTCGTACGTACAGATCCGAGGTTGGCCCCTCAAGAGTATTTAGGACTTGTGTAATGCTGGTTCTTTACAGCTGCTCACGCTCTGTGATAAAAATAAGGATTTCTGGGACTGCTAAAGATGGAAAGAGAAGGAGGTAATTTTTTTTTTTGAGACTGGGGGGTTGTGTCTGTGTGAGTGGGTGTTCTGAGCCTCTGGGGTCAGGCAGAGGAGAGTTCAGGATTGCGAGAGTGTACCCAAGCTGAAAAGGTCACAGGGGAGGAGTAGCAGCTCGGAGCCTTAGAGCATGGCTAAGGCTTAAGGAGAGATGCTCAGAGATTGCAACATAGCCCTAGATACGTAGCCCCTATGTGGCACTGGCAACAATATCACATAAATCCCACACCTAATCCTCATCTTGACTTCGGAGGGGGTTTTTTGGCCTTGCTTGTATCACTGTTCTAAAATATCATTGGTCTGCTGGTTAGAAACCTTACTTTCCAGTCTGAATTTTAGTCATATTCAATGTATCACTGATGATTCTTATTTCATCTTTGCTCTCCTATACTGGGGATAGGTATGCAGACATGAGCTGTTTTATATGAAGGCTGATGAGGTCACTTCCCACCTTCTGTTTTCGTAGGGTAAATAAACAATGCTAACTTGGTTGGCTCTTTTTGATGGGATCTCCATTTTTCTGGCTACCTTAATACCTCTTCACTGTCTTTTTTTGGTTTGAGGTTTGTCTTTTCACTAGCTTGGGTTCTCCTGAAATACTGCATACAGTTGTGGCCAGGGCTTTATTCACCTTCACAATGTCGTTCTTTTCCCTGGTGAGAATTCCACACCTGCTCTGTCCTGGATGATTTTTGCACTGTTATCATCTACATCACATTAGCAGCTCACCTAAGACGGCCACGTATTTATCCTCAACTGTCATTTCCAACCAATGAGTACATAGAAACTTTTGCTGAGTGTGCAGCTTTGTACTTCCTATTATTACAGGTAACATTTCTGGATTACCCAGCTCTCAAGGTTACTTGGTGCTTCTTGCACTATTTATAGTGCCTTCCACCTAAGTGTAAGCATACTACATGAGATCAGTCCTAGTGCTTGTGCTCAGGGCACTGGCAAAGACCAGCGAGTCTCCTCTAAGCTGATCGTTCCCCTTTCAGTTCAAGCATTGTCATTTTTTAGTTATTTTACATATTCTTTCCTTAACCCCCATCTTCTCAAGTTTAACTGGTAGAGTCCCATGTAGCACTATGCCAGAACTCACCTTCTATAACCCATCCTGACCGTCTTTTAGACTGCCTTGAACTTCACCTTTACTTTTCACCTTTACTTTTCCCAGTCAGCACAGCAGTGCGCCAATAACTTCATTTTGGAAAACTACAGAAGAAATTGAATTAAAATACCGTTCTAGATTATCCTAACTTTCTTTAACCATATTTGAAATTTATACAGTCTACAGCTACTTATGTAATGACTGCCACTACACAGTAGTTAATAATGGCACTTCGGTAACAAAAAAGTATCTTACACACAGTGGCTGAGGAAGAATTTCAAATCTAATAAACTTGCAAAAGCAATTATAGCTGTGATCTGCTTTTGCAAACATAGATTATGTCAAATCAGTTGCTGAGAGCACAGTAGCTTATTTGTTTTCAGAACTACAGTAAGGAGTGTGCCTGTTTCTAAGGACAGAACTGAGCTCTTTTCGTGTAGCTATAGGTATATGGAAATGTTTCCGTATGGCAGATAATGTATTTTTAGTTTATAAATACATTTTATTTGTAGTTTTTGCTGCAAGTCAGACAAGACAAACTCTGGTTTCTGTCTTGTCCATTCTTCCTCTCTGAGTGATAGCAATGGTGGTAGGAAACTTTTCTCTGTATTCCATGTTCTTAAGAACTTGTGCTGATGTGTTTCTGCATATACACAGAGAGTGGACCTGCATGATACAGGCAGTCAAAGGGCTAAAACTGACTCCCAAATCTAAATTCAGACCCGAGGCTTATGTTCCCTCCGTTATCGGACCTTACGCCTCCTTACACTTTCCTACCAAACAGCGAGAAGACTTAAGTAAAGAGTTTGTTCTGTGTTTGTGCAGTGCCTAGCACAGCGGGATCCCAGTCATGACTTCGGCCCCCTAGATGCTACGGTAATACCAATGATGATATAAACTGAGTTAGTTAACTACTTGCTTGCACGTTCCTTTTCTTTCATTTCCTCTTTGCATACGGCTCTAGCATGTCTTGCATGTAAATGACATCTGAATCTTCCTTGTTTCTTGGTTCAGTTTTTGTACGAGCATCTGAGTCTGTGGCAGTGTCTGTAAAGTACATGCTGAAGGAAGTAAGTTAAACTCAGAGATTCATACCTGAGTTTTGCCCTCTTTAAAGAAATCAGTTAAGGCACTTTGGCTTCCTGCCTCAGCTTCCTTTTTTATTTTAGCACCCTCTCTGGCATGTTGTAAAGATGGAACATGTCTATCGAGTGGTTTGAAGAATAAAAGAATGTTTTGCCCGAGCATTTGGTTTCCCCCCAATATTGTGGTAAATGATCTTGAGAATATTTTTTTATTAGTATTGGCTAACACTTGAGCCTGTATTGTTATCTGCTGGTGATGTTACTTCAGTAATGGCAATCTGTTGTGTTTTTTTTTCTCCTTCCTCCTAGCTAAAAATATCAGCGGTGCCGCTCTTGCATTTTCTGTACCCAACGTACCTGGTTGATTACCATCTTGGCCATCCAGTTCTCTTCATGCATGTTTCTGAGTGCATGAAGCTGTGAAGGTTCTTCATATAACACATTTGTGATGCACCATGTTGCTGTATATTCCATCTGTACACTGTTAACATTTCAATGAAGGTGATGTTCCACGCAAATAGAGAATAACAAGGCATAAAAGACAAGAAGTATTTGGTGGTCAGCAGTAGATACAGAATACATTTGTCACTTTCTCCATTTATGCCAAGTTTTGACAGACAACTTTAGAAACTATCCTGTTTATTAGAAAAAAAAAAGAAAAAAAAAGAAAAAGTACGTGTTACCTTCTTTTTTTTTAAGAACTGTTTTTTGACAACTCCTTTTCCCCTGAGTCCCAGGATTTTGCTTTGGTTCTGGTAGGAATGGTTTAGGATTTCTGCTGGCAGCTCCATTACTGTAAAACAGATTTTTATGACAGCATGTAGATGGACGAAATCACTGATAAATGTGGAAGTGATAATATCTTGGCTTTATACGAGCTGAAGCCTTCTTAGTTTATTAGTCTATGTAAACTGGAAAAATCTCATCATTTGCTGGCTTGGTCACTTCAGAATTAACTGTCAGTGTTCTGGTGAGCCAGCAGCTTCTTTTTTTCTTTTGAGCCTTTACCTTTGCTTACTCAAAGTTTCTATTGGATGATTAAGGGAAATTAAAAAGCATAACGAACCAAGTGACGACTGAGGGGCAGGTTTTGATGATTAAAATGGAAGAATAGAGAAAGATAGATTTTTTTAATTGCTTTTAGGATGTACTGTAAATTTTTTAAGGAGGCTTTAAAAAATATAAAATTTTGGTTACGCTATAGATCAGCTGTGTGGTTAATACACTCAAGAAATATTAGGCCTTAAAAGCTTAGTATGAAGAGTTAATTTACACTGCTGCTGTTGCTTCACTGGAAATGTATTATGGATACACCAGTGTTCTAATAAGACTGTAATGCTTTACCACAGATTTGTTCCTTCCCCTTCTTTCCCCTCAATCTGCTCCTGGTTTCTTAAAATCCTCACGCAGCGTACAGTGTCAAGGACAACGATCTTGGCAGCATCGCCAACTTGTTTTGGCCCCTGATGCGTTGCTGTGACCACCTGCACGCTGTGCAGGGAATGCTCTCTGTGTCAGTTGGGAACACAAACTTCGTACTAGGCACTGTTTTTGCTTCCCTTATGTCACTGTGCAAGTACATCCTCGCAAGCATTTAGGTTTATTCCCTTCCGTTTCTAATAGAAAAATACAGGAATCGGTTATTTCTTTTCTTGTTTGTTTGTTATTTGTTCTGTTACCAACAGGGCTGACTGTTTTCTGCAGCGCTGTATAGTGCATGATCTCTCAATCAATGTCCTTTTTAGCTGTTAAAAATTTACAACTCGGCAGCCTGAAGTTTTTAAAATGGGAAAGCTTCCTAATTTGTATAATTTCCCCTTCCTGTGTTGATTACTAATCAAAAGCAGTTCTTAAACATTTTGATGTTGTTACTAGTGGATGTATGGTAGATGGATTTAAGCTTCTCTGATAATTACTACATGATTTTAAACAATATATATTTAAAATAAGCATCTACAATAAATGTGTTGAGCCATATTAACCTGCCAATGGGATCTGTGAAAAAAGTAATGGCCTCATTTTTCTCATTAATTTCTTTACTTTTTTTGTGAAGCGGCTATAAGTGGCATAACTGTATTTAAAATTAACAAAATAGGTGTAGGGTGTTATTTTTTTTTATACTTCTAACCTAGCATGTGGTGTTGACGTATTACTGTAGACCAAGTTTGTCTTCCACATCAAGATGTGAGGAAATTGTGATTTGTTCTCTCCACCACAACTGAATTATACACTTCTCTTCTGTCATTTTGGAACACTGCAGTTTACCATGGGACACAGTGTACATATTTCTTGCCATAATGGTAAATGATTGATATATTTAAAGGATTAATAAATTTGTGATTTCTGCTGACATGGTGCCTGTGTTTTAATTTCCCAATTAATTGTGATTTTTGTACTGGAAGATGTGGAGTGTCTGTTTGAATTAAGTCAGAGACACAGATTCTTAACAAGCCCGGTTTGTAGTTTGAAAATATGAGTGGTTTTGTCATTTGTCTTTTGCCGAGTTTCTAACTGCCTTTCCTGAGGACACGAGTTTACACCGTTTATGCTAGACTTTGTTGATAGATTTTGCACATAACTTGTATTTATAGATCCATATTTAGAAATGGTTTAGGTCGTTTGCACATCTCTGTAGCTGCCTTACTGTGTTTCATATGCGTAGCCTGTAACACAAAATGTGTAAGAGCAATTACTGTAAGTTTAGCATCACAGACCATAAAAAAGCATTAAAGTCCATAAACAATTAGCATTTAAAATAACATACTGGGTTTAAAAGCTCTCATATATGTCTGTAGTGAGCTTTAGGCTCTTACCCCATGCTGAGCCACAACTGCAAACAGTCCTTTCCACCAGCAGAAGAGGAGGACTGAGGGGTGGAGGAGAGGAGATGACTTCCAGCTTTGGTGGTGGAGCATGAAATGCAGAGGTGGATTATTTCTCTGGTCCCATGCCAGGGCGGAGCAGGAGCGTATTCTGGGGTTTTCGACAACTTCAGCACTTCCTTTTGGGTGGCATTTTGCTATGTATTTGTAAAGAAAAAGCAAAATAGTTACTTAGGAGAGAGCTCAGAGGCTTGGAATGTTTTGGTAAACCCCAGAAGAAGAAAAAAACAGTTTAGTCTGTTGGGAGGTTTTCTATTTTGTCATGTCACTTCTACCTACTTTGTTTACTCATTTTTTCCACTAAACGCTATTCCAGAAATCAGTTTGACTTCCATTTTAACTGCGTGCCTGCAGTAAGCTGTTTGACAGCAGAGGAATTGCTACTGGTTTCAGGTATGTAAGAAGAAAGATCAGTGTGTAAAGCATAATGACAAGGAGAGGGGTGGGGAGGAAACATTTGCTAAGTCTCAGGTTGAAGATTTGGTAGAGGGGTGATTTTTTTTCGTTTTGTGCATGTGATTTTATAGCACAAATGTTTTCATGTGCTGCCTCCTGGTGGCTTTTTATAATGATGTTTTCTATTTAGGAGTGCACAAGGAGATGCTATGTATTCTGAGCAGAAAGGAACCCAATGCTTTCACCTTTTTTATGTAAGGAACATGGAGTATTTCAGAGGCTGAAAACATCCATTTGCAGGGTCTGGAATATACGCTATACACATACCTAGAGGAATCAGATTGATTCCATTTTCTGAAAATGGGCTCCCTGGACAGAGTTAAAAAAATAAACATCTGTCTCCTGGAATTGGATATTAAATCCAGAGTTCATTGTTTCAAAGATTAACTTCACGGTTTCTTCAGTGTGATATTATTCTTTTGTAATTTATCATCTCCTTGGCCTGTGTGCTTGTAGAAAGCAGAATTATTTCATTCTTCTGAGGGTTTTCTTTCTTATTAAATTTGTACAGTCATACTTTATACATATTTCATCTTAAGAAAAGATCATTAGTCAAAAAAGTAACTGTATTGGTTGGAGAATTGATGCAAATTGCTTCAGGAGATTCAGCTTCTTTCTTCCTAACAAATTCTTGGTAAAATAGAGGCAGCTGTGAGTGAATGAATGGGTTAAAAGTTTAGCACTGGAAGGTCCAACTGCCAAGTGTCTGGTTGCTGCAGGGAGAACCGCTGCAGTGGGAGCCTAATGCACAGGAGCATGGGGAGGTTTTGATCCCCAGGAGAGGGCAAGACTTAGACCTATCCCAAGGACTCTCTGTGCCTCCATGAAGGGAGTCCTACACATAGCAAACTAGAAGCCTTTCCTCTGTTCTCCCTCTCTCTTGGACAGATAGCCGTGGCTGAGCGGAACAAGTGGGAGAGGTGCAGGATCATCTGCCTCCAAGACAAGCATGCATGTAAAGCGAGGAGAACACAGCAATCCTGCGTGCCTCGTGCGCTGCAGAACGGCAACGCAAAGCTGCTTCTCTCCAGCATGTTCTTGTCCAGGCTCTGAGCCCAGGCTAAAGGCACTGCAGACAGCAATTCTGGGGAAGAGGACAACATCTAGTTACAGAGTGTGAGGGAACAAAACTCAATGCAGAGGAGACAAGCTGATAAAGAACAGGACTAACAAGGTGAAGATACACAAGAACAGTATTTCCATGTTTACAAACAAGTCACAGTCTATCTTTAAAGATGGTGCCAGAATCCAGCTCTGGGGCTGGACCATCTTATGAACTAACTGGGAATTATGCCCGTATAACCTTTTTCATCATCATGACCTCTAAACAGTTAACAAAGTTAAATAGTTCAGTGGGGCAAGTGGTGGGGATGAGGTTGCTTCCCTTAAAATAGCAAGGGCTGAGTCTGTGTAGCCACAGAATATCCTCTAAAAAGTCACATTAAATTGCAGCATAGAATTTATCAGGAATCTGACACACCTCATGATAGCTAAGGACCTAGGTCTTCCGATTCCTCACTTCTGCTATTCCCTGAGCTCAGCTCATAGCGGGAAGAGGCTGCCTCATGCCAGGGCAGAAGAAAGAGCAGCACGTACCACCAAATACCCTGCTCACTGTCAGGAGGGGAGGGAGCAAAGTTTGCATTAAACAGCCCACTGCATTGAGAGAGGCTTCACAGCAAACAAAACTACCCTGAGCTGGGAAGGAAGAGAGCGCTCTGCTCTTTCACCACTCCTTTTCCCCACCTTTCTCAGGCATTCGGTGCTGGCTCTCCAAGAAGACTGCTGGCTCTCCAAGAAGTCAGCTGCCCAGGACCACGGTGCTGACAGTCACAGATCGTTAACACATGTAGTCAAGGGACCATAGTAGCAAGCAGTCAGCCTAATAGGAGAGGTAAGAGCCCATGTTCGTGTGCCTGACAGCTCATTTTATAAGCAAAGCTATTGCTGAACATGGGTACCTAAACAGAAGTCAAACCCTTAGTAAGGATGGAGAAGAGAGTACTCCCAAGCATGCACCTCTGTCATGTTACAGCAAGACATCAACTTAAAGACCAAATAAAACTGTCACCATGTCCTGTGCCCTGGAGAGGGGGTAAGTACCAGAACAAGAACCTAGAGTTCCCCACCAACATTGATAGTGGGATTAAGGGTGCTTCTGGTTTCAGTGAAGTATGTATATTAACACATTCATGAAGATGTTCATGGACTGTTGAGCTATGGCCTCCCTTGCACAAGTCATTTGGGGGAATTATCCTAGAATGAAGCAACTGCAAAGATCAGATGTCAATATTGTGTAGATATG